CAATGTAGCGAATTGAGAACATCATTTTTTCCTTTTAACATGGAAACACGTACAACTTACGTTAAAATAATTTAATCAGTTTATTGTGATTTTATGTTTCTGTTCTGTGTTTTAAGTATCTCTACTTGCGAGTTGCTCTTCCAGAGTCATTAAGTTTGCCATGAAAGTAAAGTTGCGGTTATTAATATTGTAGGCTTACCATTTGTTGCTTTCAATAAAAATACCGATTGTTTATCTTTCCTACTATTTTATTGCATATTTCATTCTACTTTGAATCTAAAGAACTCGTTGTCCGTCCTTTTTTTCTTGCATTTAGCTTTACTTAATTTCAATATGGAATCTACAACAGTTTTACATTTACCACGAATGGAATCTTTTAACGTTAGGAACCTAAATAAATGTCTTTGTGTTCGGAATATAGACAGTGGAATATTTTGGCAACGAGTCGCCAATTACATCAAGATTGGTGTCCGTCTGATTGACTTGAAAATAACTGTGTTCTCGATTGTTTCTAAAAACTTTCTATTGAATGGAAATTTTGGAGGCAGAGAATGATTTGATTGACACAAAGACAAAAAAAATCATGAAGAACCAAACAACAGAAATGTTATAAAAATAGCAATAATTATGTGAAATTCTTTTTAATATAAAACAACATTCATTGTTTCTATTAACTAATTTTCTTTAATATAATAAATAAGATCTCCAAATAAATCATTCAGTGTTATTTGTTTAGAGATTTTTGTCACAACAGCGGGATGGAATCATCAATATTTAAACAGTTTGTATGAAAAATGTCCCTGTAAATTACGGAGGACGTTTTTTTTCGTGTTCACAATTATGACGAGTCATTTTTTACATTTTGCCTCGTGTTTACAATTACTGTAAGGTGAAATGAAATTGGTTATGGTGTTATTTAATGTATTTTGCTGATCCCATCCCTGAGTATCATTACTGTATTCACTTTTTGATTTATATATAATATATATAATATGTTCTAACGAATATTGTCTATGATATAGGCGATTCTAGTAATTGAGTTTACTGATTTCTACGTTCATTTTAATGTTATACAATACATGATGTATGTTTTATTCCTCTTCATGTCTGCGTGTGAAATGGTAATTTGTATGTAAAATAAATGTTACTGAAGAAGGCCGAAAGGCCGAAAGCTACGGCAAATTTAAATTAGAGTTTTCAATTTTGTTTTCTGTATTTAATGATGTCAAATGTTTTCATAAAATATTTACTCGTACCTCTGTTGTGTTGAAACAATTATAAATTTATGTCAACAATATATCCAATATTAATAAACTTGTACTAATAGATTTTACTTGATATTTATGAGCTTTTGTTGTTGTTCTTTGCCTTCTTCTTGTTTGTTTGGGGTTTTTTTTGGGGGGGGGTTTTGGTTTATCGTTGTTTTTGTTATTGTTTGTTTGTTTTTTTTTTTTGTTGGTTTTTTTATGGGGCGGGGGGTTGGAATGGGGTGTTATAATTCCATCGTCGTGCATTCTAGTGATTGTGAGATACTGTAATTTAAAGTCTCCGAAAAAAGGTGTTTATTTTAGTATGTATTGAAAATAAAAATACATCACCTCATACACATTATCTCTCTGCGTTAATTTTGCGTGTTGAAGAATGAAAGTGCTTTTTAATTTATTAAAGTCTACTTAACTTAGATATTGAATACATGAAATAAGGCAAAATGATTTTAAAACAGGAAAAAGGGGCTTCGTATTTATTTACGCTACGACATGATCTAAATATAATGTTAAAAAAATAACCTGAATCAGCCTTTTCTTCTGTTGCTTTTTGGCAATAAGTACAGTTATAGTGATAAAGTATTTTGTATAGAAGTCAAAATTACTACTTTGTTTACATTTTGATACTGTATGACCAATGATTTCACATTCAGCATTACTTTCTTAAGGTGATATGCATCTAACATGGTCTCAACCCATTACCTAAACGTTATAAAACTCATATTTGTCCTTTTAAGTGAAGAAAATATGAGCCGTGTCACGACAAAACCAACATAATGGGTTTGCGACCAGCATGGATCCAGACCAGCCTTCGCATCCGCGCAGTCTGATCAGGATCTATGCTGTTTGCTATCAGATTCTCTACTTGTAATAGAGTTGGTAAGCGAACAGCATGGATCCTGATCAGACTGCGCGGATGCGCAGGCTGGTCTGGATCCATGCTGGTCGCAAACCCACTATGTTGGTTTTGTCATGACACGGCTCATATTTATTCGTTTATAAGGCATAATGTGTTTTTAATGTTATAGTTATTATTAGTATTATTTCTTTACATTTGTGGCAACTATTTCATATTCTGTTACACAAACCGTATTTTCTGAAAAATGAAAGATGATGGTTCACATATCACTACATTGCCTTGTTTACCCGGGTTAAAAGCAAAATACTTTGTACAACGAGAATACTTTATATTGTCTATAAGGGAGTAAACTACATGCCACGTTTTTTACTACGTGTTCCGAGTGAATTATGTTTTATCGTGTCACTTATAACATGTCCCTCCTCTCCTTTTACCGCCCTTGTGTCCTCTACCGTTTTTAGTTCGTTGCCTTCTGGGTAACCTTTAAGTGCGTCTGGGTTGTGTCGGGTGCTGCGTTCGGTGATTGTTTCCCTCCCTTGTTAATCTTTGTTCTCATTTTTTAAATAGCATAGAATATAGTACATGAAACTAAAAGGTACAATGTCGTTATAGTTGGTGATGTCTAGTAGGTTTTATTACCATTTAACTGCCTTATTTTCTACTGTTAGGTTTTTAATGAACCTACAGGACGGGTATATATCCTTTGTCACGTGTAAATCCTATCTAAGCTAGAGATATGATCTCGTTAAACTTACCCCCATAGTATGTTGACAAGCCTAGCTTAGTATGTCATGAAAATTAATTTAATAAAATTATTACAAAGGTCAAAATGTAATGGTCATTTTGCCACTCATCTCACCGATTCAGATATTGTATGAGATTAGAAGTCGGTCACGTGTGAAAAACAAATTGGTATTTACTTGTAAATTATCCAGGAAAACCGGGTAGGTGGATCAGCCAAAACCATTTGTTAAAATTGCCGTAGAACCGAAAAAAAAAGTTTTCAATTCTTAGGGTTCAGAAACTGATTTCTGCAAAACATTCTCGGGGTCAGATCAGATAAGTCATGCTTCTATTAGCTCCATATAATTTTGGAATAAAGTTTATTGTTATTACAGGATTGATGCTAAGATTTATAGGTCTGGGCTTCCTTTCATAGAAAGTCCTAATTCTGAAATCATTGAGACCAAAACAGAGACATTTTTGCATTTCTCTAACTTATGACTCCTATGCAATTACTCTTTTAATTACTGAATAGCAATGCTGATTGCGAGTAAAAGTGTCTATCATTATATTTCTTAACTTTCCTCAGGAGAATGAATTTATTTATAGTCATTTGACAGAAATTTACTGAACATAAAGATATATTCAGCCAGGAAAATATCTTCTACTCTCATTGTATGCCTACATATGTTGTATCATTCCCTTTTTATTAATATGTTAGAATGGAAATATTATTATAGTATAATCTAATAATGCACTGTGTATCGATTATCATCTAATTCTAAATGTTATATTTTCGCAATAAAGACACGGTATTGTCAAAATCATGAAAGAAACTTAAATAAAAACTTTAATAAACTGAAAGAAAAACTGCAGTGGGGAATATTTTGCACCGATCTCAACTCGGCACGTGCGGGTCAACGAGTACAACAGTAGCTACAAAGTTGAACAAGTTCATGGAATAAATGTTTGTGCTTGGCACGCAACGTCACATATGGTTTCAGATAACATATGAAGTCTACATGATTTTATATGATGTTTTATTAATTAACTTTCTAATATCAAGCGAGAATCTGGCCTATTTGGTCGCTTTATACTATGTAGACCTCATTAATAAATTTTAAGACTAGGTCAGTACGGGTATTGAAATACGCGACCATTACGAGATTCGACCAATCAAACTTAAGAATTAGCTTGGCTTTATACAAGATGTGTTTTTTTTTAAAGTTTATAACGCCATTTTGAAAACTCTGAACTTTTTTGCACTTTGTATTCTTCACTAAAAGTGGCGGCTCTTTGAATATGAATGTGAACTATGGTAAACGTAACCGCATTGATCACGTGCGAAGTTTTTATAATCTGAGTAGAAGAACTTAAATATGACCAATATAGAAAATTAATCAAATACTTATTCAGGTTTTAGTATAATGTTAAGAAAGTAGTATACTGTTCCGCTGTAATATTTCGCAATTCACAGTTGAAAGAAAAAAGAAATAGGCTTTTTAAATTTCCTTTTGAACAAAAGTTATGATACGTCTTCTATTAAAACTGAAAAATGTTGCATATTTTGTCAATTAATATAGCTGTTATACACTGAAGGGAGAGTGTCATCGATTGAAAATACTAAAATTGTCTAATAATGGTCGTTGGTAGGGTTAAACCCACAATTCTTCGGAAGAGTGTCGAGTGTTGGTGAGCCATGCAGTTTAATGAGGATAATTTTAAGATAATCTTTTGATAGAAAAGGAAAATAAAAACGAATCATTGAATGAAAAAAAGCATGTTTTATATAATACAATAATGTTATTTTATTTAAGCTTGCAGTCAAAAAATGTGTTACTATTTTTATTTATTCATCTTCATTTTTCAGTCAGAAGAAAGCACGTTTCTTGTTGTTCTTTTCTTCTTATCTCTTTATCACAATATTGTCATCTTATTGAATGTTACATCTAATCAGTTGATCTAATTAGAAGTATGTAACGTAATACATTTTAGATAATCTCTAAAAGTGTTCAATTAACCCGATTCAATGAATAATTAACATGGAAAAGCGCATAAAATATCTGAATTGGGCTGTTTAGAATTATTTAGTAGAATGTATTTCGCACGATGTATTTACAATGTTCGTTTAATTTTGCTATTATTTATTTCAGCAACCTGTTCAAGACCTGCATTAAATACCAACTCCTACACATTAACGGAAGAAAAATCGTCTTACCAGGTCAACGAAACCTACGAAATTTACTGTGTTCCTGGTTACGTCAGTTCCGGCGGAAGTGATCTGATTTGTGGTACTTCCGGTTCATGGTCAATACCTTCGCCAGAATGCACTCCTTCCGGTAAATATGTTACATGCAATTAAAATCCAACAGAATTGTTTTGTTGTTACAGATTAGATACCATTCGTTCGTTTAATAATTAACCGATATCTGAAATATCGAACGTTCATAAATTATGCGCAATCAAGTCATGGACAAAAAGGAAATCTGTCGGCCGTACTTTTCAAAAAAAGCAATCGTTTTCCATGCTCCTTTTTTCAAGTTACATAAAATGATTATTATGGAAATTATATCATTCACTTATAATGGCATTAATAAATATAGATTACTACATAATAACTTGTTTATTTTAGAGGGCACTTATCCGTGGTGGATGTTGTTGGTCGCTGTACTACTGGTAATACTTTTGGTTTCATGTATTCTGCCGAGATTTTTGCAGTGTTGCTTGTAAGTTTTGTCATTTATTTCCTGTTCTATATTTTATTGATCTTCCCCATATGATTAAAGATTTAAAGTTAAGATTGGTTAAGTATTTCTCAGAATGCATTCTTGGTAAGCGGCTATCGGCTTTGTTCTTCCATTTATCTACACAAAATGTTCATGAAAGCAATGTCAGTCATTAAATTTATTCTCTTATGTAAGGTTTTAAGTATGTAAGAAGACAACTTCCGTGTAGCTATTGACACCTGAAATAGTTTTATTATGATAAACTGCGTAATATTTTACAGGTATTTCATTATAATAGTAGAGGTACAGAATAGATTTGATTTATAAATGATGTTTGAAAATATTATATTGACATTTAGATCAAAGGGTAAAAAGAAACAGGGAGGTGAGTCCAGGGACTTGGAGCAAAACAACGACAACTATGACGATTATGATGACGACGATGACGATGATAGAGGGGATTCGCCCGTACCCAATTTCGGAAAACACAAGAAAATGACTAATATTGAATATATGTCCAAGCTTCACGAAGACGCAGATCGAAAGACGCTTAAACGCGCGGCTAAAAATTCAACATTTTAACAGAACGCTTAAGAACGCTTGTTTATACCAAAGAAAGTATTCATATAGGATTGTAGAGTACTTAGGGTGCTAAAGTGAGATGTCGACTATATTCTCGAGAAATCTTCGAAACCATTCCTGAAATTATTTTCTAAAAATTTCAGTTTATTCCAAATAGTGTCTTTTGTTATTAGACAGTGCATTGGTCATCAGATCACCACAGTTCATTAATTCTATAAAAAAAAACTTTGTAAATTGACACTAAATTCAACTCAAATACATTAGAATGTTGCTGTACAATTAAGCTTGTATAATGTTTGTATTGGGTTTTGTAAATCTTGGATATTTAAAGTTCTAACAATCACTTTATCTCACTTACTTAAGTCTCATTACTGTTTTAGCTGAAACTTTAATGAAGTTCAGTTTAACCTAGAAAGTATGTTGAAAATAGCTAATTGATCGCTGGAAAAGGTAAGCATCTAGCGACCGCTATCTGATTTATACGGAAGAAATAGGAGAATAACAAGAATTAGGTACACTGTAAATCTATGATCTATTCTTCCTAAATGAATTCCATGGCAACATCTCGAGATATTTGTCCAAAATGTAAAACATGTACTTATATAAATGGTATGGGAACATAATTTCATAGTTTTACATTAGGACTATCTAATATTAAAAATAACATCATGTCATTATGTAAAGGTGAGGTTCTAAAGAGAATTCTTTTACTTTGTATGACAAGGATTAAATTGAAAAATTGAAAAATAAAAATTGATATTCATCCTGTATCCGAGAAAATGTAACATTTCATTACGTTCATTTATTGTTAGGTTTAGATTCACTAACTTCTTAGTTTCTATATGTCAAGACAACGATTTCATTATGATCATATTGTATACATTTGTAAAGATGCACGGTATTCACGCACATTTTATTTGACGTATTATTTCTACTTTTCAGTATACGGTTGCACTAAATTGTTTCGTCGATAGTAACACTATCATTTTTTTACAAATGAAATGAAATAATGCAGGTGCGATAGCAGGATTATCTACCAGAGGGGATCTCAAAATTTTGACAAGGGGTAATGCTCATTCAAGAGAGAATTTGGCATTTTACTAGTTTCCAGGGTGGCGGGTCACGAGTCAAAAATTTGCTTGATCACTATGTCAATAATCGAACCTTGATGTTATATAACATATACATATATAAGCCTCTTAAGACCGCGCATGTAATAGCAGGATAAAGCGTTTCATTAACTAAAATTTAATTTATCTGGGATCCTATTGCAGCGCGTAGGTGTATATGCCATTTTTGGTGGTGAAACTTTCTTGTCATGCCATAGTAAGCACCTTTTCCCTACGGAGTCAGCAGTAAATTAATGTCATATCTATCGCAATGATTGCCTTGTACCTATAAATGCTAACACATTATGCTGGATATAATGATGTTTTTGTTCTGTTATAACATGAGAACTACCCGATTTTTTATTTCTAGGGACTGCGATATCAACATGGGAATATCAAGCAGTAAAGTAAAGAGCCTTGGCCTAGCTAGCTCTATACTGTTGGCAGACACAAGATATTGTCGTAATTACGCGTTTAAGAATTAACCAGACATTGTTCTAAATATATTATTAACCCTATCTTTTTATATATTGTATAGTATTTCAACTTCGACTATTGTTTTCCTCAACGTACATGTATAATTATGATCATAATTGAGCCGCGTCACGACAAAACCAACATAATGAGTTTGCGACCAGCATGGATCCAGACCAGCCTGCGCCTCCGCGCATTCTGATCAGGATCCATGCTTCACTACTAACGTCTTGTTATAGGGTTTGTAAGCGAACAGCATGGATCCTGATCAGACTGCGCGGATGCGCAGGATGGTCTGGATCCATGCTGGTCGCAAACGCATTATGTTGGTTTTGTCGTGACGCGGCTCAATTATAAGTATATGCTTAAATATGCTGAAAAGGGGAATTATTTGAATTTAACTAAAATTCACGCATATACAATGATGCGAATTACATTTTATTAAAAGGTAATAACATTACATAAAACCAGTCAAATCCAGTGTTTGTACTAATCTTGATTAAAATACAATGATATTCAGTTATAGCATTTACATTATTGTAAATGTCCTCGTAAAAACACGTTTTTGTTGTTTATGTGATTATCCTTGAATATTTGAAAAAAAAAGAAGTTACATTTAAAACTTGATGATATTTCATGTGTAATAATTAGATGTATTTTAATACTGTTTTTAAAATAAAACATCGTAGATATGCAGTCAAGTGGTTTTTGTTTTCTTTCGAGCTTCAAATATGTCCTCGGATTCTCTAATAACCGTATGTCCGTGATTCATACAAATTTAATTTTTATACATTATCATGTTATATATAAATAGCTTTGAAATGCCTTTCCCTGATTGGCTTAGAAGCAACTTTTTGTTAACAATAACATGTCAATATCAGAATATATATTTACGCAAACTCTCTTGACAACAGTGGTATGATATTGACAAAATGGCTGCGCCATATGAGCCGTGTCACGACAAAACCAACATAGTGCGTTTGCGACCAGCATAGATCCAGACCAGCCTGCGCAACCGCGCAGTCTGATCATCCATGCTGTTCGCTATCAATTACTTCTAAAAGAGTTGGTAAGCGAACAGCATGGATCCTGATCAGACTGCGCGGATGCGCAGGCTGGTCTGGATCCATGCTGGTCGCAAACCCATTATGTTGGTTTTGTCATGACACGGCTCAATTGTTACTCTGACGCCCACGGCAATACAATGTAGAGACAAAATGGAAACAAAACCATTACAGACAAAAATACAATGTGTGCCTCCTCGTGAATAATTTACAATAATATTCAGCTAAATAGATTAGCACATTCAATCGCATATCGCCTTAGAATTCTTAGATCCATTGAAATACTTAAGCTTACTAGTATTTATTTTGCATGATAGACGTTTTATTCATCTGATCATCCTTTAAAGGCCCAGTATGCCCCAGAAATGATTTTATTTCAATTTCTAAAAATAAAATTTGGTGTACTTTCGTAGTTTCCAAATGGATACTCATTGACCAAGTACCTGAAAAATCTCTTTCTTCTGTTGCATTTTTGCAATAAGTTCAGTCATAGTGATTTTATATTTTGTATGTTCAGTCAAAACACTATTTTGTATACATCTTGCTACTTCTTGACAAAGTATATCACACTAAGCGCTACTTTCTCCAGGTAACAAGCAGCTAATATGCTTTATAAATATGTCATCGTAAGCTGCGGTCTCACTCCCGGCAGAGCCCAGGACCATCCCGGTAAGTTACCGGGATGATCCGGGGTGAAATTCTTGTTGCAGTCACACGAACCCCGGCAGCAAAACGGTAATTCCCAACTAACCACCCAGGATGCGCTCCAGATTATCAAGGAAGAGCCCATGTGAAGCTACAGTTTTATGCCGGTGCTTCCCTGTTCGTTCCCGGATGACGCCGGAAGAGCTCCGGTAGATCCAGGCAGAGCCACGGTCGATCCAGGCAGATCCCCGGCAGAGCCCAGGACAATCCAGACAAAACCCCGGTGGAAAATGATTACATTGTAACATTATTTTATTAAATATAATAACTGTTGTTCCAGAATAGTAATTCATGATGATTTTCTGAAAAATCCTAATGCAAGACTGTATGGGAGGGAAATTGGAAGGGTTTTAATAATCATCGCAAATTGTCGTGATTCTTTAAAAATGAAACGGGCACTGCCAGGGCTCTACCGGGATCAACCGTAGCTCCATCGTCATCCTCCGAGCTCTGCCTGCATCCCCCGTGGCTCTGCCGGGATTCACCGGGGCTCTATCGTAGCTCTACCGCTTGTGACGACAGAGCTACGGTGCTTCTCCGGTGTAAACCCGGTCGTTCCCGGCAGAGCTAAGGATAAAGCCGGCAATGTTTAACTTCCTGGATCATCCCGGACCACCCCGGTAAAATTAAATATTTTATTCCATCCGGGATCGAATGCCGGGTGTTCACGGATCATCCCGGACGTTGCCGGCAAAGTTACGGATGTACCCCGGTTGTTCCCGGTCGTACAACTGTCGTTCACGGGTCACCCCGACCGTCTACTGTAGCTTACGGAACTTCATGTTAGCCCTTTCTAAAACAGTAAACATTTATTCGTATCTGTGGCGTAAGTGCCTTTAAAGTGCCATTATGCTCATTTTGTCTTAACTGTTATAATGGTGATTGACCAGCAATTGATTGTGGAAAATATTTAAAATTAAAAAAAAAACATCTGCCCCATTTTGTTTATAAACTGAACTTTACAGGTAAATTCCAAAAATGGATTTTTACAGAAATTCCCGTGGACTCTGTGGGTTATTTATCATTCATATGAAGTAAATTGTAAAATTAAAAGGAATCACGTCAAAATGTAAACTTACTTTGAATTTCACCTGTTCGCTCGCTGTAAGTCATTTGATGGATACAATGTCACTTTAATGTACTATATACAGATACATTGTATGATGTGAAAGTTTGGCAACATATTTAACATATTTAAGCGTTGTTTAATATCCACGGGCATATGAGCGGACAGGTGTTAACATTTTGCCGTAATTTCTTTTCAAACGACCATACCCGAAAAAAACTTACTAATTTATCTAATTAGCAAACCATATATTTTACCAAATTAATACACGTTTACGTTTACTAATTACTTATTAAATCTACATCTAGATTTTTACAGTCATCTGTCAGTATTGGATTTTATCAGAATGCTGAGTACAGTTCGCCATTTTTAATGTGTAAAGTACGCCATTTGTAATTGATAATTAGTGCCGACCTAATTGTGTCGTAGACAGAAATAAGGTGGACTTTTCACATTTATTATCAAACATCTTTATAGTGAACATCAAACGAATCGTATCCCTGTGGTGAGATACGGGTTACATATACTCTTTGATCTTTTTAGTCTTTTCAAGCTAAAAAAATGTGGAAACAAAGTGACCGCTCTCGTAAATCAGTTGTTACATAAAAGAACAGATAATAAAAAGTAGGATTTATTGTTATCAGCATGCTTATGTTGACTTACATGAACTTTCATAATTATAAACATGACATGTTTAAGCATCTAGCGAATTTTTGATTTATTGAAGTACATGTACATGCATTTGATAAGCAAGTAGAAGCTGTTTTGTATAGGAGAGATTTACAGCTACGTCACTGTTATCTGCTATGTGTACCACGTGATACACATTTTCCCAGAAGGTCGTACAAACAGTTGTAAACAATGGCAGCTTCTGATAAGATGTATGCGGTAAAATTGACAGAAAATGATGTACCTGGAGCTAAATTTCGCTCATGTGATATATCTGAGCATTCAGTTGTTGAATTACAGAGATGGTTACAATGTCGAGGATTAAAATTGTCCGGAAATAAACCAGAACTAATTGACAGGTAAGATATAGATCTACACTAGAGTATATAAAGGTCATGTAGATCTACTCTGTATATAATACTTTCTTAATTAATAAACATAAAGGGCATGTTGAAAATAAATACTGTATGATATTTTTATTTATATATAGATAATAAAATTTGTCCTGAAATAGGTTTATCCAAATTCATTTAGTGTTATTTAACAACTCTCATAAGTGTAATAGTTTGACTCCTATAAGTTACAGGGATAAACCATAAATAATCAGACACAGGTGCAGGTCATAGATTTTATCTCATCTTTATAAATCTTATGCACATTTTACCTCTGGTGAGAGGGATATTGATTATTTTTGTTTCTTATTTGCCAGTATAACAATGTTAATGGGTCATTTACTTATTTTTTTTTCAGATGCAAAGCCTGTCTTGAAGCTTGGGGCAAGAATGACATTGTGGTTTCAATTGATGAGGGCAAATGGTTTCAAAAAAAAAAGTCCAGGAAGTATTAGCCAATGTCCAAAGCACAGACACATCAACAGTTCCTGTTCTGCCAGTGACTGGCTGGAAAGACTTCCCTTCTGCAAGTCTTCCAGAAGGATATTGCTATGGCACTATATATTATCATTCATTACAACAGCTAAGGTTGACTACGGCAAAAATGAGAGTGAAGATTTAACAGATTTTAACACATCAAAACCATTAATGAAAGGAAGACAATACTTTCGTAGTGGACATGTTAAAGATATAAAACACATATCAAAAGATGGCATTCAATTCATTAAATGCATAGTGCAAGCTTCATATTCTGTTAAACAACACTACAATGTGTCCATCACCCTACATGGAAATTCCGGGAAAGTGCTTGATGCCTCATGTGACTGTAAGGCTTCTGCTATGAGTAGATGTAATCATATTGCAGCTTTATTATTTGCCGTTGATGACTACATTTTGGAATATGGTCATCACATAGCTTCAACATCTAAACTGTGTAGTTGGAACAAGGGGAGGAAGAACAAGTGGAAAGTGTCACTTATTAAGGCGATTACTCTGGGGTAATACTCTTCCGGACCTGAAAGCATTGAAATATGGAAGATCAAATGAGCCAAAAGCGTTGCATCAGTACAGGGCAAGTCTAGATAAGAATAAAACTGTGGCAGCTACAGGACTCTGGATTAACCCGAAATATCCAGAGCTTGGATGTAGCCCTGATGGCATTGTCACAACAGATGGAAAGCTTACCAGTGTTGTTAAAATAAAACGTCCTCTGGTACTTGAAAACACCCACCCATATGATGTAGATGAATTGCAACCAAAACAGAGATATGCTCTCTGCTATACTGTTACAGATGGGAAAATGAGTGTCAAGAAGACTCATGCTTATTTTTATCAGGCACAAATGCAAATGGCAATTTGTGAGACTGATACATGTGATTTTATCGTTTGGTCACCGAAAGGCATAATTGTTGAAACAATCAAACGAGATGTTGAATTTTGGGAAAAAATACTTCCTAAAATGTTTGCTTTCCATAACAACATCCTTTTACCAGAATATTTGGAAATGAGGGTACCCCGTCGTCTTATGCCATGTGAACTAGCTTTAGTGTAAAAACTGAGAACAGACATTGTATAAATAGGTTTACAATGTTTTTTTTAGTATATAGCATTCACTTTTTGTAAGATGTACACAATATATACATAAACATATATACAAAAGTAACTTGATCAAGTAGTATAAAACTTTGTATTATATAATATTCAAGGTTTAAATGAATTATACAATCATACACTATTTGTAATTTTAATTAGTACTTTTTCATTTTATATTGAAAATATTCTATTTATGATTAATAAATATGTACATGTTCCAGAAACACTTTGTTTTTTCCCTTTATTTTACTTCACTAATGATTCCTGATAGTTAACAAGAAAGCCTATTATTTTTACAATCTGTGTAGCCATTGGTTTGAAGCATAATGGCAAAGTTGTGCCAATTATCTTAAATTTTTTCATGCGTTCAATCGCACGTTCCACGTGTATTCTCACACGTGCAATTCTTTTTGTCAGTATTTCTTCTTGTGGAGTTAATCTATCTCTACCACCTAAAAATGGAGGGATGTTCAATTCGACTTTGTTTTTCTGCAAAATGTCTTTAATAAGGAATCCCCTGTCAGCTATTACTAAATCCCCTGGTTCCAGAATTTCAGCAAACTTTGAGGAGATTACAATATCCCTGTCACTTTTGCTCCCTTCGTATACATCCGATAAAAACGTAATTGCACCAGTGGGGGCAATGCCGACCAAACATTTTAAAGTTGTATGGTTTTTATATGATGAATACATATTTCCTTGTTCTGCGAAGTCACTTGAAGATTGCACAAATATCTCAAAACAGTCGATAATTACCCGCACATTTTTGAATGATCTAAATGTGGCAGGTAAATGTTCACGTATCAGGCTTTTTGATGGGAACATCCTTTTCCATAATGGTTCTATAGTCTTGTACAAAAACTGAATCCATGTGATAAAAATTCTGGAAACCATACTTGCACTTATCCCAAACCTGTAGGCCAAATCTTTGTTAGGAAATGTGTGTCGTAATTTCATCAAAGTAAGTAGAAATTGATTGTCAGCGGTAATTTTTTTATTGTTTTTCCTTTTCTTTTTAATCCACCCCAAAATTTTAATTTATGAACAGATTCACCAAGAGACTTGTATAAATGATTGAATTGTTGAGGGGTAACTCCCGTGTAGAATTTAAATAACTTTGCATCAGTCTGAAGCTGATAGCAGGTGATTTTAAATTAAAGTTTTGTTGGTTTATCAGAATGCTTTTTCTGTTTTTTACTCAAAGCTATTGATGATTTATTGCTCTTAATGCGCCTTTCTATTTTATTAAAAAGCTGGTCACTGCATGTGAATTGAGTTTGGGTTTCCTTATCATCTGTAGATTTAATCTTTGTGGCAAAGTATATGTCTTGGTCCTCAAACACATCTGGCTGAAATTATATAACGTGTGACATTATGGAGGCATTTAAATGAGATTTTTATCTGCAACAACAAATTAGATACACCCCCCCCCCTATTGACCCAATATCAACTTTATCAAAGAATAAATACAATAAATTCGGACAAATATTTTGAAATATATTTAGCAATTAAGGCATTTACCTGTATTAAGTTTGATCTTTTTGTTATTCCCCATCTGAGTTTGCATTCTGCACTAAGTTGTATTTTGTATCCTGTAACTGAAGAAGAGCCTCTGAAACCTCAAACAAAGTTTTTTTAGATACAGGTGCTGCCCTTGGAGTTGGTGCCTTTCTTTTACGTGAATACTTTTCTACCTGTAATAAATGTGTGGTTTTAAAAGTTCATATAAAAACACAGAATGAAATTGTAAAAGACAGATTTATTTAGAACAATTTCTTATCACAATAAAAGCATTTACTACAACATGAGCATTTATTTATAATTTATATGGTCAGTTCCCAATTTTATATACAACAAATAATTATTATGATAATGTTCATACCTGAAGTGGTGTATATGTGGCAGGAACAGGATCTGGATGATTTTCTGTAGGTCCTTTACCTCCAACAAAATGTTTGCTGCATATGTAAGTCCACTTTTTAATGTGGTTAACAGTAAAGTCTTTTCGACCACATGCATTTATCCACTTATTACACTTTAATTCGTTTGATTTTGGTTTTGGAAATGGTATGAAAAAACATCTTGCATATGTTCTCTGTCATTGTACCTTGAGTCACTATTACATACACCATAACAACAATGTTTTGTTGTATCAGAGCTTATTTTTGAAGATGTACTGGGTAAATCCATACTCAAGCATGTACAAATCTATAGTGTATCAGTGGGTAGTACAAACACAGTTTGTACGACCTGCAACAGTTGCTATGGTCAGTGCTTATCAGTAAATCTATTTTTAGCATATTGACTACCTGGTAAATCTCTCCTTATATCAGCCATACAAAATGCACGTGTAATCTTGAAATTAATTCGTTACATACGCGTTATTTTTTTTTAACAATTTCACCATGTGTTTAAGAAATTCAATCTAGATTTATGTTCTTTAATTGGGTTAAATACATGTACATCTATGCACATAACAATTGATAAATGAACGCTAAACTGCAGTTTATGCGATAAAATATTGATTTATACCAAAGTTTGCTCGAGTTCATAGATTGGTCAACACGGACGGTGAAACATGCTTTCACATTTTATATTGACCACAGTCTGATCTCCTCATCTAGATAATGCAGATTTTTTTTCTACTAAAATCCAGCTAAAATTTTGAGGTTAACATTCAGAATAATTTTTTTTTTCTTATTTCATTTTTTTTTTGTTTCAATAGTACATGCATTATTGTTCTATAAAAGACCTTTTTTCTCTTAAACATATTTGCATGGAATAAAACGTTTATGTTTAAACAAAATATACCTTAGCAATTACACTTAGGTGAGTTATTAAGTGCAATCGAGGCCCTTTCGTTTAAGGTATGTATTTTTCTCATTTTCTCTGTTAACGTTTTGTTCAGTCAAGGGTTCCTGTAGTTCAAATATTGTTGTAGTTTTACCAAGGCACCTGGTTAAGGTTTGATTTAATGATTGAGATTGTATGAGAATTGAGACCTCATTTGTTGTCATTATTTATTACTATAAATCTTTTGGGGCTAGACTGTGCATCAGTCTGTGAGATTTTAGTGTGGTAACTCTGTCAACAGGTACCTGCATAAATTATGGATAAGAGGCCTGCAAATGTTGTGTTTAGGGAACTCAATCATTGGTTACCATCATAAATATTCCAGGAATCAGTCCGTTTGTTTCTGGTACAGTTACTTGATCATAAATATAGAAGGCTTAAATTTGTCAATTAACACTTTGGTAACCTCCAAATATGGAGAGTCAAGGTATTTCATATAAATACTGGGACAAGATTTTCTAGGGGCAGTCTAGATTGAAGATTGAAGAACAAGATTCAAAATGCAAGAGTAAGATTGTAAGAGCTAGAGTCAAGATTCAGGATTCTAGATTGAAGTTTCAAGAACGAGATCTTAAGAGCTAAATAGTAAAAATTTAGTGACTTATCAACCATGTGTGAGGAAGAAAAACTGTAACTTTAAATATTAATTGTAGATTAGAAATTTAGGACACTTTCGAATAAATAAATGGTGAAATGAAACGGAAAACAGTTATTGTTTATTTTATGCAAATATGTGAAATTATGGAAGTAGTAGAAATTATAAATTACAAGAGAGAAGAATTTATAACAATATGTCGTTTCTGAACTGATTTTAGGGAACATTACAAGACATTTATCAAATACATATATTATAGATTAAATACACATTTAGAGTAAAATGCTATCGCTTTATTTTATTTTTTCAAAAAATAGATAAATACAGAATCCCTAAAGAAAGCCCAACACAGCAAAATTGAAAATGTTGCAGGCTCGGTTTGATTGAGCCTGTTCATGGACGGTACTGGAAAGTGCAAGTTACCGTCCACGCCCCCTAGCACCGGCTTAAGCAGAATTCAACATTTAACATGAACTGGTAAAATTTAGAATTTTGAAACATCCGCAGATGTGTTCATATGACGGTTATCATGGAACCTTCAATGTGACACGTTAGTACCATTCCATGAAAAGCGGCATATGGTCCCCAAGTAAAACAATGCGTGTGCCCTAAACGAGGAAACAATGGGCGGAACTAAATAAAATGGAATTTTGAAAGGGGATCTGAGGTTATGAAGCCTGCGTATCACAGATAAGACGTCAAAAGACACATTTAAAAAGCAGGCAACATATCCTAAGGGTGATTCAACATTATTCAAGTAGGAATATTGGAACCACCCAATTAGAAAATGCCAAAAAGTTGAAGCTAAAAATACCACAAGCACAACAATTGTTTTTTTTTTAGCTCACCATAACCGAAGGTTCAAAGTGAGCTATTAGTATCAAAGGGGGTTGCCTCGGCGTCCGTCGTCCGTTGTTATGCATTAACAATTGTCTTCTTCTCTCAAATTTACTTCAAATTTTTCTCTCAAATTTACTTCAAATTTGGTCTGTTACATCCTTGTGACAGTCACACTTGAATTTGCTCATGTCATTCCATTTGGCCACTTTTAGGGGTCAACAGAGCGAAAAATAGAAAAACCTTTAAACATCTTCCAACACAGAACTAATAGATGGATGATCACCAAACTTTGTCAGTAGCATTCTTGGGTAGCCTTTCATCAAATGCTCATATTAATTTGATTAGCCCCTTTTATGGGTCTCTAGGGCTTGAAATAGAAAAATCTTTAAACATCTTATTCTACAGAACTAATGGACGGATGATCACCATACTTGTCTGTAGCATTCTTTGGTAGTATTTTATATATATTATATATCATATTAATTTGATTAGCCCCTTTAGGGGCCACTTAAGCTAAAAATAGAAATACCTTTAAGCGTCTATTTCTATAGAACTAATTGACGGATGATCACCAGACTTTGTCTGTAGCATTCTTAGGTACTCTTTTATCAAGTTTGGTCATATTAATTTGATAAGCCCCTTTAAGGGCCACTAAAGGTGAAAATATAAAAACCTTTGAACATCATTTCCTACTGAAATAATTGATAAATGATCACCAAACTTTGTAGCATTCTTAGGTAGTGTTTTAACAAGTTTGCTCATATTAATTTGATTGGACCCATTTAAACTAAAGCTTGAATGACCAACGTCATGGCATTTCTTCAAATTATTGTTTAAACATATCCTATGCTCAAATTTAAAATTAGACAATATTGACAATGGATAATTTCCAACACTGAAATACAGTTGTTTCTGGTGAGCGACTCAGTAACCATCATGGCCCTCTTGTTTTATTTTTTGTGTGCTTATTTCAGTTTCCAAAATGATATTCATGAGTCATATTCTTTAGCCATCTTTTGTTTCATTTGCGCTTTTTGTTTGGAGGTCAAACAACATCTCTGTTAACATTTTTTTTAACTTTATCACAAATGATTTTATATTGAACATTATTTCTATCAGGTGATGAGCACATCACATGTAATAAATCCATTATTAGATCATTTTAAATTCATTTTTGCACATTCGACAGAATGAAAAATTTACTAATTTCTGTGCCTTTAAATAAACTTAAAACCATTATTTCTTCCTTTTCAGAATTGTAAAATGGAGGACAAAGGAACTGCAGATAAATCAGTATATGAGTAAGTTTATTTTACCATATTGTATGAAGGTCGACTAAAATATGAAGTAAATTTAAAGGTATAAAAAGTATGATGTTCACTTCTTGGCTTTTAATTATTATGTCTTTAGAAGCAGAAAGTACAAGTAACATACCTGTTGACAATATTTTGGACTTTATTGCATGTCAATATATACATGTATTATTAAATTTAATCATAATATCACCGAAATAGACTTTATTTTACTAAAATGTAAAAATACATTCGATAATCACGACAGACCCTGTCCCTGTCTGTTTTTAGTTTGCACGGAAGATCACGTGGTAAGAACAATGCTCAATATGTATCATGTCCGAGATGATTATTGATTATCGGCATGATGTTCCAAACGTTATATTTTGTAAACATAATAGTACAAGTACAAATGTTGCTGCAATGCAGCAATTGAAAAGCTCCGCGCAAAAAAATGCGCTCATTACAGATACCTTACCAAATTATTCCTACGCACAGATCATGTTATATTCAGATTAAGTACTATTGTAGATTTTTTCCGAATGTTTTGTAAACCATTTTTTGCATAATTATACTTATCTTATGCACTGTCAATAACTGTCCATCGTTAAAAAGAGGGGAAAATATTTAATATAAAAATGCTTTCACTGATGCCTACCTGGTAAAGAAAGTAATTCCATTGAATACAAACAAGACTTACAAGACTTGTAAATGCTATATGAGATGACTGTACTGTGTTCTGTTTCAGTAACAGAAGATAGATGATAGAAATATCAAAGTCTGTTATAATTGTAACAAATATACAAATAGTATTAAAAGGGACTAATATTATAATATAGTAGTATTACATATATATTTTTCATGTCAAATTAAAAAACGGTTTCTTTCAATACTGAAAGTAGAACACACTCTGGAATGAAAAAATGGGATGAATTTCCAAAAGACCAAATTCAGGATTTTTTGTTTGTTATACGCGCGTTACATGGTGATACAGTATTTATCAATATAATAGAAGACTGTTACCTGAACCTAAGGTAGGTATGAGGAAATTCACTTATATCGTATTCGTGCGAGACAAATATAAGAAAGCTATTGGACATTGGTAATATATATAAAAAACTTTTGTTAGGAGATCAATATATATTTTATGTTGAATTGCTTTAAAACCATTCATAAAAAAACATTACACTTCATGTTCAAACTGCAGATCAATGTTTCTGTTGTTGTCGTGATATCTATCTATAGCCTATGATAAAGGTGATTCCGCTTAAATTGTCAGTAATTTTTGTTTTAACTTAAGTCTGTCCAAAGTGAAAGTAGGCCACAATGCATATAACAACAAAGCTCTTATTGTAAACTGATGAACCATTTGAAAATACACTTCCAGGTTTATATTTTAAGGAGAATTATAAACAAAAATAAAAATGATAACAATTAGAACATTTACCTTGAATGTGTTACATTTCTGAAGACCAAAACCATTCTGTTGCAAAGTTTTATGCACATTTCATGTATTGCAAAATCCTTTTAAAAGTTTGTTTTAGTGCCAACAAAAGCTATTGTTTTTTGCAGCAAAAACAAAAATCTTTCAAAACTTAACTCCAAATAAATCAGTATCTCATGTCCTTCTAAGCACATGGCCTCCATCATTTTTTTGTAAAAAAGTGGTGCAAGAAAACAATCATCATTTATAGCCTTATGAACTACAATTAAAATGGAAACACAATCAAACTTTAAAATCTAACCTTTTTATGTGCAACAGTGAAGTGCGTCTGTTTGTCATGTACAGAAGAAATAGGTAAATGATGTCTATTTTCATGGTACTACTTTTTTACACATGCCATGGAGGCCATGTTTTTTTTCTAGGTCAGATAAACTACTTTCCTAAGATTTATGTTTTTAAAAGCTTTTGTTTGTGTTTTCTGCAAAAAGTACCATTTGTTTGCACTAAAAAAGACTTTAAACTGAATTTTGCCATTCATGAAATGTGCATAAAGATTTGCAACAGAATGTTTTTGGTCTTCAGAAATGTAGCCCATTCAAGGTTAAATTCTTATTGTTTTTATTTTTATTTTTGTTTAAAATAGTCTTTAAAACGTAGAATTGGAAGTGTACTTGCAAATAGCTCATCATTTAACAATGTCAGCTTTGTTGATATATGAAAATTGGCCTACTCTCACTTTGCTCAAACTTTGTGTAAACAAACTTGGCTGATAGAGCGAATAACCTTAAGGAGGGCTACAAAATGCATCGATTTCGAGTACTGAAATCTTCTTTATATTGACAAATTCAATCACTAATAGTATACTTGATATGCTGTGTGTAAATGTATTTCAAAATGTAACAAATTATACTTGCATGTACTCCTAAAAAAGGGAAATAACAAATGTATAACATTTATAGCTATTTATAGCTTTCGAATTTATGGAACAGCAGAACTGCTTTCCGGTTCTCATTCATTAATATGACATGCTGCGAATCATCGACGGGGAAACCAATATAGAAATCGAAAGGAGTTCATGAATGCGGATTTACTTTTAGCTGTTAATCGAAAGGATTTATTGCTCAAATCCGGGCCCATGGACAAAAAATTAGTAAACACAAAAAGCTCCGCGCCTGTGGGCGCGGAGCAATGATGTTATCACAGTATTATTTTATTTTGGTTCATATACGTAAAATAAGAGTGTTTTAGTTGGATTTATTTTCTCAAGAAATCTCAAAATTTATGCCATGTTATTTATATTCTCATTATTCTTGTTTGTTGTTGTTGCTGTTGTTATGTTGTTCACATATAAATGTTTACTTTGTAAATTTGAATTAGATTTTCAGCATCTTACAGAACGGATTTATCAAAAGTGTACATGAATTGTTTTATAGTACATGTAATTTTAGACAGTTTGTTGTTCTTTTTTTCAGTCTTAGTGGAATTGGAAATGTCACTCGCCTGATCTTCCTCTCTTTCTAGTCCAAACTCAGCCTCCTCATATGCAACATCTTCATAATCTTGTACTTCCTTAGGTCTGAAATATAGGAATTTATAAAATGAATAAATATTATCTGAACACACAATTTCAACTTTAATTAAATATAAAATTATTTTAAAACATAAACATGATGTTAAAAATTTAAAAAAGAAAAGAAAAAACCCAGTTAAAAATGCATATGTTTGTAAAACATGTATGCCTCCTATTGGACCTATCAGCAGCTAATTAGTGGCCAGGTGATCTAATAACCAAGAAATCAATAGGGGTTATGTACTGGTCATAACTAGTCACTAGGTCATTGTGACCGTAATTTTACTAAAGGTCATGTGCAGCAATTTTATTACAAAGTTTGCACAAATCTTACCAAATAAGTTCTGCATAAATTTTATGACTTATGTAGGCCTCCTATTGGCAGCCAACCGACAAATACAAAGCAATATACCCCCACTTCTTTGAAGGGGGGCATAATTATTCCAAACCAAAGAACAAATACTCACAAAATTTGCTCTATGACAAAGCTTGGCTCATATAGTGGGTCATCTTCATCATCACCTTCATCAATCTCTTCTTCCTGGGCTTCACATGTACAATCCAGGGTTATCCTGCAAAATAATAGTTTGTACTTTTTTTATTTACAATAGCTAAATTTCCTAATCTTTTTTTGCTCAAATAATAAAAGTACAATTATGTATTTCTAAAATTGAACAATATGTTTCATTTGATTTTCCACTATAAATCTAAAAGTTGCCATGACATAATTATATATGAGCCGCGTCATGACAAAACCAACATAATGGATTTGCGACCAGCATCTGCGCAGTCTGATCAGGATCCATGCTGTTCGCTATCAGTTTCTCTACTTGTACTAGAGTTGGTAAGCAAACAGCATGGATCCTGATCAGACTGCGCGGATGCGCAGGCTGGTCTGGATGCATGCTGGTCGCAAACCCATTATGTTAGTTTTGTCGTGACGCGGCTCATATATCTAAAATTGAACAAAACATTTCATTTGCTTTTCTACTATAATACTAAAACTTGCTATGAACAGTAATGAAAGAAATAGCTCTATGAATAGCATTAATTGCACTGCAAAATATTTTTATTGACTTAACTATATTACAAATTTTTCAAATAAAAATCAAAAAAATTTCTTACTCAAATGGGTCAAGAAATGACCTAGATAGTTTCTTCTCTTCTACCTTTCTTCGCCTGCTTGTATATCTAGAGAAAGTAATTGAAATTGTTCATTGCATACTCAGAAATGATTTTACTTCTGAAGTCTTGGAAATTTTTCCCTTGAAATAATTGGTCAATACTGAATTTGAAATAAGGTCAGGGTTACAATTCTGAAGCATATCAAATGAATAAAATGTGTTCATAATCATCATTTCTATATCAGTAACAAAGTTATGAGAAGATGTTTAAAAGTTTAAACTATGACCTAGTAGAAGTTTGAACTTTGATCTCATGGTTAAAGATGTTTCATGTTGCCCTCAAGTCATATTCTTGAAGTGAAGACATATATAAGAGTTCAATTGTTTCTTTATTATTGTTGTTACATACATGTATGCAAAACTTAAAATTTAAAAAGAAAATGTCTAAGTTCCAAATGAGCCATAATTCAGTCAGCTATGGGCATTGAATAGTGACCGTCAATTACATTACTTTGTCATGAATCAAGGTTAAACTGAATATCTCTTTTAGTTTTGAAGAATTATGTTGCATGTAAGACATAACCCAAAATTAATTTTGTTAAAATACATATCAGAGTTAAAGGCCAAAAATTATGCCCAGAAAAAATTCAGTAGCTTGAAGATTGATGTTGCATGGAAAACTATAAAAGGGCATAATTCAGTAAAAATCCAAGTCAGAGCTATCTGGCAGCAGGAAAGTGACCTCTGGTTTAAAACTTTTAACATATTCATTTAAGCTTGATAGTGAAACAAGTTCTTGTAACTTCTATAATCACTTTCAAGTCCGCTTCCTGGAACCCACCAGTTCTTGACTTCTGGTGTCATATGAAGAAACATGGTAGTGACCAGATTAGGGCTACAACCCATGATCCACAGGTTGAGAGTTACTAAGCAACCACTTCCCCTACTGAAGATTATAACTTGGCAAATTGACCATAGCTAGTAGGCATTAAGTTCTTTCATGCTAAACGAGCATTGAAATAGTAAATACATATTGCAAAAACATTATACTGTAATAGTATGTACCTGAAAAGCCTTGGTACAAGTAGTAAATTACAATAGATTTACTTTGCAAAAATGTTATCACATTGGAATGTTTACAGGCTATATAACAATAAAAGAAATAAAACATACATTGGTGGAATATCTTCCACAGGGATATCATCTTCTTCTGAAGTGGTAGACCTTACTTCCTCCACTCCAGACATTGCTGTGACTCCTGTGATATCTCTGGAAAAAAATAAAACATGTGTTTTGCAGTTCACTAGAACATGGCATCTTATTTAGCTCTTTAAACCATACAGTACAGTATACCTTAAGTAACATTTTAAACTTACAATACATGTAATGATGTTGAAAACTATAGGTGATTATGTTATGTTAGAGAAGATTAGCAAAATGAGCCAAAAGAAACACACCTCTAAATTTCTGCAAGTAAACAAGTTCCAATTTTTTTGGAGAAAGAAAAGAATTTTTGGAGAAAGAAAGATAAAAAATACTCTTCTTTGCAATGGTATATTCAATTTTAAGAAATAAAGACATGATTATGAGCGTTTAGGGATCTTTAAAAAAAGCTTCATTAGAACTTTAATTGAATTGAAACGTTTGGAATAGTTTCATATAATGGTTGTTTTTATGGTTCTATGTTTACGTGTAGATTTTATATGAACAGTTCTTTGTAATATGAAATAATGTGATTTATATATCATGCCGTTCTAAAGGTTTTATGTACAACGGAACATGCATAACCCCCGGTGATGCTGCAACCAGTTTGGCAATAATATTTGAAATTTTTTGAATTGTTATTATCCGGCATATCAACAACAATGCGTTCATACGACGGACAGTGGTCATAAAGACTACAACGTGAAACTTAATTGCAATTTTTTCATTACAAGTTGAGTAACAGAATATCGAAAGAATGGGCGAAGCTAAATAGAAATGAAAATTCGAGGGTGTAACAGAATGTACATTTTCAGGTTGCCAAACTCAGTATACATTTTCATATCTATAAATAATACAAAAAGATAGATAAACCAATCTTAAACAAGTATATTTAATCTTTATATCTAACTGTGTTTTGTTTTATACCACACGAATACAAACTATATAACAACATCATATACATATTCCTGCTAGCGTCAGGACATCAATTTATGTAATTAATAGGGCACCACATTTTCATTATTTCGTGCAACACTAAATTTTAAGTGAATTGCCAGTGAATTCTCTTCGATGGAAAATACGCTGCTTATGATTTACTGCAGTCTGTATTGGTTTTTATCCGCTCACTTTCAAGACTGGATTACAATCCGTAGCTCAGTACACGCCATTTGTAATGGATAATTAGTGTCGACCTACTTGTTTTAAATTGCATTCGTAGCGAAAATAGTGAAGGTTATTAGTAGCTGTTGTTGTTTTTGTTTTCACTTCCATAAGAAATAAATACATGTAAAAGACTGGGCTATACAGGTAAGATTCTTTTGCAGTTAAAACAGGCATCATAGAGCTATTTAGAAAGCAAGTGACTCACGCTCTGGCATAAACATGTAATATGTAAGTACGTTTGGCGCTGATTCAAACAAACTCATTATTGAAAATAACATTAACTGTCTAGTCATTCTAATTGAAATAATTTCCTATATAACGCCTCAGTAGGTATGAATTTTTGTCGGATTGCTGTTAAGTCATAATTTCTTAACGTTTTATACCATAAGCATCTACTACTTATTGTATAGGATATATAGCTAAACGTGTAATTTTCAAAAATGCAATCGCCGTTCAGCCGGGTATTCGAAAAATATTTATATTTTTTTGTGAAATAGAATCCTTCCTGAAAACTAGAGCAGTTTCTTCTTTTTAAGGAAACCATAATTATGTTGTTTACCTCGTTTTCGAGCTTCGAACACGAAAAAAAGTATTTAAAGGTAACCCGACAAAAAAATGGCAGAAGGCGTGTCCCGTAGGCGCCCCTTTTGAGGTCTTTTGTCGTCCATTTTGTTATCATGTGGTATTTAATTCTCCATTTTGATTGGCTGAGGACAGGCGATGTACGGGTAGAATGGTCAAATTTTGTTAATTGTATTATATTTTCTTGTAATCGGGCGCATAATGTTTGTTCACTTAAGGGTAAAATTATAAAACTGTGGGTTATCATTACATGATTATAAACTGGTTTATTACATGCAAACCTAACAGCAATCTAAAACTTATCGCATTTATTATAACTGTAGTTTGTTGCATATTGCATTTTAAGTTACTTAGTCATACATTTTATATAATTCAAAAGAATGACAACAAAGATTTTAGTATAAGTGCATGTGTTTATTTCATAATGTGAACTGTAAAATATGACATTGATTTATATATATTATATTACGATATACATGCAAACTGGACTGGGTGGTGATAATATGTCAAAAATGATTAATGAGAGTTCTACATGTAACTCTAAACGCGTGCATGTATATGCATTATAAGTTGTCATTATTACAAGCTGTCATTTTAAATAGTAGTCTCAACGCCCAGTCTAGTGGGGGGAGTTCGAATTTGGTACTTGACTTGTACAGGCACTATTAAAATGTAAAACATCTGTGAGTTCTCTTTCCGTAATACGACAAGTTCATAGTCGGTGAAAAAATACCTTGGGCCTATGTAGCAGAACTGACTTCTCGCAATAACTCTTGTAATGTAATAACCTAATTAATGCAGTAACTTGTTAGACTGGAAGATGAAAATCGTTTAAGTTTATTTATTTATTTATTGTTTCTATTTCTAGTACCGTACATGAAAGAGTAGCTATTTTTTATTTATTTATTTTTTTGTTAAATGCATTAATTCTTCGTTTTCAGAATTGAAAAATGGAGGACAAAGGGGCTGCCGATAAATTCGTGTATCCACCTTTACCAGCAGAGCAAAATCCCGAAGAAACTCACGAGATGGTAACTAACGAAAATCAAGAATCACCGACAGAAGATGTTGTGAAGTTCACCCCGACGGTTCAACAGGGTGAAGTTCAAAAAGTTAATGTATTATTTTGGTGTAACTTTGTAGGTGTCCTTCTGTTGCTGGTTGGATTTGTCGCCCCTGGTTGGTTGACAGTAACAGCTGAGCATAAATTAACATATAGCAGTTGGTCTGGGAGAACTCAGCATATACAAGATGTATACCAGGATTATGCACTCTGGTATGTCATTCAGTGTTACCCGCATGATGGAACCAACATTGAATGCGAGACTATGACGTACAGATCTATAAATGGCATCTACGCAGACGAAGTTACCAGTTACGAAAAGCTAGAAATAGCTGAGCTGAAAAATGAGGGTGGTGACAAATTCATGTTTCATGGAGTAGCTCTGGGTGAGTGGAAATGTTTTATAATCTGGTTTATTTCAGAAGAAAATAAAGAGGACCAGGAATATATAGGATAAGTTTTTAGCTCACCTGTCACAAAGTGACAGGGTGAGCTTTTGTGATCGCTTTTCGTCCGGCGTCCCTCCATCCGTCGTCCGTCGTCCGTCCGTAAACTTTTACTTTAAATGACATCTCCTCATAAACCACTTGGCCAATTTCATCCAAACTTCACAGGAATGTTCCTTTGGTGGTCACCTTTAAAAATTGTTCAAAGAATTTAATTCCATGCAGAACTCTGGTTGCCATGGCAACCGAAAGAAAAAACTTTAAATATCTTCTTTTAAAAAACCATAAGAGCTAGAGCTTAGATATTTGGCATGAAACATCTTCTAGTGAGTGTCTACCAAGTTTGTTCAAATAAAAGCCCTGGGATCAAAATTGGCCCCGCCCTGGGGGGTCATTGATTTTCCCTATATGCATATAGTAAAAACTTAAAAAATCTTCTTTTAAAGAACCCAAAGAGCTAGAGCTAAGATATTTGGCATGAAACATGTTCTAATGGATGTCTACCAAGTTTGTTCAAATAAAAGCCCTGGGGGTCAAAATTGGCCCCGTCCCGGGGGGTCATTGATTTTCCCTATATGCATATAGTTAAAACTTAAAAGACTTCTTTTAAAGAACCCAAAGAGCTAGAGCTAAGATATTTAGCATGAAACATGTTCTAATGGATGTCTACCAAGTTTGTTCAAATAAAAGCCCTGGGGTCAAAATTGGCCCCGCCCCGGGGGGTCAAAATTGGCCCCGCCCCGGGGGGTCATTGATTTTCCCTATATGCATATAGTAAAAACTTTAAAAAATCTTCTTTAAAAGAACCAAAAGAGTTAGAGCTAAGATATTTAGCATGAAACATGTTCTAATAGGTGTCTACCAAGTTTGTTCAAATAAAAGCCCTGGGGTCAAAATTGGCCCCGCCCCGGGGGTCATTGATTTTCCCTATATGCATATAGTTAAAACTTAAAAATCTTCTTTTAAAGAACTCAAAGAGCTATGGCTAAGATATTTAGCATCAAATATGTTCTAATATGTGTCTACCAAGTTTGTTCAAATAAAAGCCCTGGGGTCAAAATTGGCACCGCCTAGGGGGTCATTGATTTTCCTTATATGTGTATAGCAAAAACTTAAAAAATCTTCTTTGAAAAAACCCAAATAGCTAGAGTTAAGATATTAAGCATGAAACACCTTTTAGTGAGTGTCTACAAAGTTTGTTCAAATAAAAGCCCTGGGGTTAAAATTGGCCCCGCCCCGGGGGTCATTGATTTTCTTTATATGTGTATAGCAAAAACTTAAAATCTTCTTTGAAAAAAACCAAATAGCTAGAGTTAAGATATTAAGCATGAATCATCTTCTAGTAAGTGTCTACAAAGTTTGTTCAAATAAAAGCCCTGGGGTCAAAACTGGCCCGGCCCCAGGGGTGTCATTGTTTTTAACTATATGTATATAGTAAAAACTTAAAAAAATCTTTTTAAAAGCCCAATGAGCTAGAGCTTAGATGTTTAGCATGAAACATTTTCTTATGGGTGTCTACCAAGTTTGTGCAAATAGCTTGGGTTAAATTGACCCTGCAACATTGGGGGGGGGTTGGGGGGACTATATACAGGTGAGCGACCTCAGGGCCATCATGGCCCTCTTGTTTCTTTAAACACAGGATTTATTTTCATTGAGTTCTATAAAAATAAATGTTTCATGGAATATGATAATTTTCACATTATAAGATGAAAATGAATCCTGTATTTATAGAATAAAACTTAAATTTTCTATTTATTATATACATTTTTTCTTTTTTTACATTACTGACAGTACAATTTGAAAGATTTCCCCTTTTGTTTTGTTTATTATCTGAATTTAGAAGAAAGTTGTCAGGCAAGACACCAGTGAAAATAAGGAAATTGTGTTTCACTGCAATGAAAATACAGTTTTACAGTGAAAATACGGAAAATAAAATACGCATTTTATTTCATCAATATTTCATTTATGAGTATATAATTAAACCTGACAATAACCTAGTTACTAGTAAAAATATTTAAATTTATATATCTAACTTTACTAGATTTATTAGATTTATTTTTCTTATGAATCTTAACACAAATATTCTATGATATTTTGTTTCAGTTTTTGGCTTTTCCAAGTTTGTTCAGATTCAAGCACTGTACACAATGGCTTTACTGATATCGTTCGCATTGCTCTATGCATGGTATGACCTTAGGAAAAAGGTTGTAAAGGGCACAAGTAATGGTCATAGCAAATGGATGTGGATCTTTCTGATACTTCTGACAATTCTAGCCAGTGGGTATACTTTGCATGTAAAATTAATTAAATACATAGATTTAACACAAATATTCAGTAGAAGATAAAGAAAAACATGCTTTATGTTTTGATCCTAAAATTGCTTCCAGAAATTCAGAATGCATGTGAAGAAAAGTTATGTTTTATATATTATAAGAGCCAATGATGGCCAATTTAGCAGGTTTATTTAGGGGTGATGGATATGTAAATCAACTGTATCGATATTTGAGTGTTTTTTGTAATGATGAGAATATACGAATTACTCATCAATAATAGGCAAAAAAAGCGCCTTTTTAATTAAAGGACCATAAGTCAGCCAAAATTCATTCAACCTTGGAAAAAACGTTTAAATATGCGCAAGTGATCGAGGTACCCATCAATCGTCGATCATCATTCAAATTTCATAAGTTGAAGAAAAGAAAAGTTGGAAAATAAAAATCATTAAAGGGCCATAACTCTGACAAAAATCATTAAATTGGGTATTGTCAATGATATGCACAAAAAACTTGGTACTGACCATTCCTAAAATTTTGGATGAACTTTAGGTTTTTGAGGATAAGACCGCACAAGTTTTGCCGCGGTAGGACAGTCATACAGACGACCGAGACGTTATCCAGGCTACTATGTAGGAAGACGGCACAAAAATTGACCTTAATACAATGAAAATTGTAGTTTTGAACGACTGATTGTGTTGCACCTATGATAAGGGCACTTAGTATCTACATTATATATCCTCATTCTTACACCTTGTAGTATGAACATGTAACCTTATAATCCATTAAAGTAAAAACCGACAGAACCAAAATCAATGAAAGCCAATATAATCAGGCAGGGATGCAGTTAATCGGTTAGTCCTTTGGTGTGAATATTGTTAGCTGTGATCTCCTGTTAATAATTTTCCAGACGCGTTCTGTGCTATATTCTTGTCGCATTTGGCAATAAGACAATGACGCAAGGCGTTCGTATTCCTGCGCTCTTTTAAGGAATACTTACTGCAGACTATTTTGTACTTTGCAACCGTTTTGTACTTTCCAAGCAATTGCAGAGGAATGTCTTTTTTTGTACTTAGTGACTCCATAGAACTGATCAGATTATTATCTCTTGGTAAGGAAATTGGATATTCACGTGCAATGTCATGCACAAATACTTCAATTGTTGAAATGATCATGTCACCAACTTTCCAGATTTATTTATTATCATATTCACAGTGTTCAAATTGTATTTATAGATTTAATGTATAGTTTGCTTAACACTTACATTTCTATTTACAGTCGTTCTTATTTTCATTGGCGTGTTCATATTTGTTGCGGTTCTTGGTGAATTTGGACCTGCTGTGGAACTTGGCACAGCATTCGGGCTGTTGTTTGCCGTATTTGGAGGATGTTTCCTGGGCGTGGTCTTCGTGGCGGAGCTTGTACAAGTATTATGTTGTAGTAATTTTGGTGCCTAGTTATTATCCAGTACAATAAACTTCATTGAAGATCTATTGTAACAAAGATACTATTTTAGTAAAACTTCTTTTCACAGTGATCAACTAGAAGAAAAAGATTTCTAGTAACTAAAACAGCATTCCTTAAACTTCTAAGTGTTTACTTTTACATTGACTCAAAAGAAAGCGAAAATGTAAATTGCCAATAGTTTTTTAGCTTACCTGTCACAAAGTGACAGGATGAGCTTTTGTGATCGCTTTTCGTCCGGCGTCCGTCCGTCCGTCCGGCGTCCGTCTGTCCGTCCGTAAACTTTCACTTTGAATGACATCTCCTCATAAACCACTAAGCCAATTTCATCCAAACTTCCCAGGAATGTTCCTTTGGTGGTCACCTTTAAAAATTGTTCAAAGAATTTATTCCATGCAGGATGAAAACTTTAAATATCATCTTTTAAAGAACCAAAAGAGCTAGAGCTTAGATATTTGGCATAAAACATCTTCTAGTGAGTGTCTACCAAGTTTGTTCAAATAAAAGCCATGGGGTCAAAATTGGCCCCGCCCCAGGAGGTCATTGATTTTCCCTATTTGCATATTGTAAAAACTTTAAAAATCTTCTTTTAAAGAACCCAAAGAGCTAGAGCTATGATATTTTGCATGAAACATGTTCTAATGAGTGTCTACCAATTTGTTCAAATAAAAGCCCTGGGGTCAAAATTGACCCCGCCCCAGGGGGTCATTGATTTTCCCTATATGCATATAGTAAAAACTTAAAAAGCCTTCTTTTAAAGAACTCAAAGAGCTAGAGCTAAGATATTTAGCATGAAACATGTTCTAATGGGTGTCTACCAAGTTTGTTAAAATAAAAGCCCTGGGGTCAAAATTGGCCCCGCCCCGGGGGGTCATTGATTTTCCTTACATGTGTATATCGAAAACTTAAAAAATCTTCTTTGAAAAAACCCAAATAGCTAGGGTTTAGATATTAAGCAAGAAACATCTTCTAGTGTGTGTCTACAAAGTTTGTTCAAATAAAAGCCCTGGGGTCAAAACTGGTCCCGCCCCAGGGGTGTCATTGTTTCTAACTATATGTGTATAATAAAAACTTTAAAAATCTTCTTTTAAAAAACCCAATGAGCTACAGCTTAGATGTTTAGCATGAAACATCTTCTAATGGGTGTTCTAAGTTTGTTCAAATGAAAGTCCTGGGGTTTAAACTGGCCCCGCTGTGGGGGCCTATATACAGATGCGACCTCAGGGCCATCATGGCCCTCTTATTATGTTTGCCATTCCAAAAAAATACAGAAACGATAATTACGAATAAAATGAATATATTTTAAAATGAATAAGATCAATATGTAACCTGCTGAGGATTATTTTGAACCCAAATTTCAGTCATGAGTTAATCAATGAGAAAGTTAGGCATTAAAGGGACTCCACCGAGGTTTTTTGACATGATGGGACAGAAAATAATTTTTGCAGAAAAATGTACCATTTGATTAAGGTATAAAACTCTAATCTATGTGCAAAATTTCAGATCATTCGCGCACTTCGTCTTTCCAGAATAATTATTCAAATTGTAAAAAAATGACCTAAAATGAAAAGCGTTTAAACGCATTTCACTCAAATCGGGCTAAGAAAAGCATAAACATACGATTTTTAATTTTTTTCAAAGTATATTCCTTAACTATCTTTGCATTTATTTCTGTTTAAAGTGCCCAAGCTCATTGGTGTAAGGAATTGAAATGTTATGTTTTTTAGAATTTTTAACCTCAGTGGAGTCCCTTTAAAAGTATATACTGAAATTATATTATGAAATACGGTATGTATGTTTTCAAGCAGTTATATTCTTTTAAAATATGATAAAGAAGATCGTCAAGGAAAGGCGGCGTTCAATGAAAAGAAGGAAAGGCGGCGTTGTAAAGTAATTTCAATTTTTGCCAGACATTTTATTTCGGTCCATCTTTTTTTTAATTGCCTGACAGCAATATTTGTATCCCTTTGAGATAAGAATTGTCACGTGGTTGATATCTATTTACTATAGTTGTGACTGTATAGATTTTAGAAGATGGATTACATCATTGATCTACTCAAAATATTTGTAATATCATAACACATGAAGAGAGAGATATAGTTAAATAGTGCCCAGCTTTATTTGTCATCCACTTAAAACGCTGTATTTCTTAAAAATTTTGTTTGTTAATTCTCATAGAAGAACAAAAGTCGAAACTGTGTCATAGTGCTTTTATATAACCGCCTTCGAAAATATTGACAGGTAGTGACGTAATAAAGTGAATATTAATGAAGCCAAATAAATACTTGACATTAAGTGTGTTAGTATTCATCACATTCATATATATTTTAAAGTTTATATGCATGTTAAAAGTAATCATTGTTGCCTTAAAGTATTTTCTTCTGTTATATTAATTTCAGGGACGGGCTTAATCTAATGTTGCAAGAACTTGTTGCCCAACCCATTTGCATTTTGATATATAATCATTATTTGTATGATATGTCTGTAAACATGTATTTAATGCAATAAAATATGTTTAAACTAGTATTCATCCGTAGCTGTACTACAGAAATTAGAAACATTCTCCTGTCGCTATCGCTCTCGTCGAAGTTTCTAATTTCTGTAGAACAACACAGGTGAACACTAACAAATACTTAGCTACATATCATGGTATTTGGTTTTATACGTGTCTTTTTAGTTTCTTTTTTTTATATTTACGATGCAATCTTGTCGTGGACGAACAATATATTACTATTTCTAAAACATTTATTTTCATGTATAATTTTCCCGTTAATTCTTTTAATTTTGTTTTAACGTTGTTAGAGTTGTTTTTTTGTTGTTGAAATATTTAAGTCCAAGTTGTAGAAGAAATTAAATTGATCTCTTTTTCTCTTCTTTAGTGTACTATTTGTATTTCATGCAGGTTTCTAGTTAAGTTTGTATTGAAGCTTCTTTCGTAATCTGTATATTTAGAACTGTTCTCTTTATTTCATTGATAGTATATTGCATTGCATGTCAATTTTATATTTAGTGATTTATATTTTTTACTTGGTATTATTGTTGTTTTATTTTTTTACTTTTAAACTTACATATTCTGTGCAACATATAAATCTACGTAACAATAAAACGTTTATGTGCTTTATCTTGTTCATGTATATTTATGCATTTAAAGACATTTATCTTGTACTAAAAACAATATCTATCTCCCGTTTGCTTCGTTATTATTATGTATATAAAAAGCAATTTACATTATTAAAGCATTTAAAAAGTTAATCGAGTTTATAAATTAGCGTTTAAGGTTGTTTTCGTTGTTACGACATTTCTGCTAGGTGTTATTTCTAAACTCACTCTATAAAAAAACAAGAGTATCAGATAAGCAAGATTTTCGTTTGAAAGAATTGTCAGTGTTACCGTTGTTAAGGATAATTCTAATCAATAAATTATCTTGCCGGATTTCCGAATTGTGGCCTTGTTAACACATGTGACAAAAAAAGAAAATAATTTACAACTTTAAAAATGAGACCTGTATTGATGCATACTATGTTATAGAGTTTTTTTAACCCGTCCGTTCTAGCTAATGGTAATGATATCAAAAATAGTATTATTGAAATAATGTTTACTCGTAATTAATTTTGGACGAACAAGAGGTGCTTAACTTATTTTTCAACAGAAGAAATATGTGCACTGTAAAACACATGCACGAGTTTATTGTGGCTTTTGTGTATTATCCATTTGGATAAATGTAGTTTAGCTCAATTGTGAATATGGTAGATAATAAATTAGTGACAAGTTGGAGGCTATAATTTAATGACTTTTGAAGACCAACCACAGCAACAGAAGTATTCAAAAGGATTTTAAATCTTTGAGTAATAACATTTCTTTCTATTCGCTACCAAACGGGGTTGCAATGCAATGTCACTTCTCAGTAGGGGAAAGATACAAAATGACCTATGGCGGTACCACCTGACGTGCGCCAGCTCTTCGAAACTTTATCTGAAACTGAAATACAACCAATGGAAAAACTTTGTCACTTCGGATGAGGCTATGATTTACTTAGGCGAAGTATGGGCGAAGAAAGGTATGTTATATCAGAAAGGGGAAATATCTTGGTGGAACACTGAAGTTTGTCAAACAAGATGTTTTTGCCAGCGGCTTCGTGACATATGCTGATGTTTCTTCTAGAGGGAAAACAGATATTCGAATCATCGATAAAGGAAAAAAGGTGACCTCTGAGTACTATATCAACAAAGTGCTAAAGCCTTTGTTGGAGATAATATATGATAAACAGGATCGACAAGGAAAGGCGGCGTTCAATGAACGCAACCCCCACAAGACCCAACAACTAGAACCAGCGGCAAGGAGACCAGGAGACCCCAAACAAAAACATTACAGGGCGCAAGACAGAAGACTTTTTCCTGAGAGTGGTGGGAGCATGGAAAAAGCCATGGCATTCCACCAGGACATTGCGTGTAGCCACACGTCTAAAAACGCTATCTTTTCTCAAAGACTGTCAAATTAACTTTGTAACCCCTGAAGAGTACATAATTGGACTTTGGTTTCTTGGGTATGCTTAAACGTCGTTTGCAGAAGCGGCAAATAAAAACGCTTGTCTGTCTCAAAAAGGCACTTAAGGTCGAGCGGTGCAAACTTTATCAGGAAAAACTAAAAATTGAGAAAACGTTGTAGGATGGTGTATAACTGCCATGAGTGGCCTATTGAACATTTAATACAATCAATGCTAAGAAGTGGTTGAAGTTTTCTTGTTGTTGAAAAGAAGTTTTTGTTGAAAAATAAGTCGGGCACCTCTTCTATATGTAATGTTCTGAAATAACTTAGATATTGTTTCTGTTACCCCATTTGCATTTTGTATGTTAGAAATTAATAATGTTTTCTTAAGATATGTGCTTTATAAAAATGTTCGAAATAGAATAGAAACAAATGTATGAAATAAATGTGTGTTGTAGTTCTATTGGTTTAATATTATACGTACAATTCTAAGATTTGTGAAATAAAGTATTTAAACGAATGTATTTTGATAAGATTATTATGTGCTGTTTTTATATCTGATTATGCATTTATAATTCGGGTTCAATTATATATGGTTTACAGTGATGATAATTTTATCAGAGCTGCCTTAGGTCAAAGTTTTATTTTATTCTTTATGTTTCAAGAAGTTAACGGACAATTCATACTTTGGAGAATATATTTTAAGTTGTGTTTTAAAAAATCGGTTGCACCTATTTTTCAATATTGGTTGTGCTACAAAATCACTAATATGCCTCTCGAAAATTAAAGGGGAGAAAGCAATGAATTTCTTTCCGGTATACATTTTATTTCATAGATACTTATATTGTATTGCCTGAAGTAACAATGGCCTTGGAAAGTAAATGAGGACTGTGTTACATTGTTAGCAATACTTCGTTTTAACCCCAGATATGGTGCTTACAAAGCGGCTTCCTAAACAAACTGTTCCAATTTACTGCGTGCGTGCGTGCATGTGTGTGTTTGTGTGCTTAATGAGGGTCCATCCGCCATTTTTGGCACTGAGAGTATGGATAAAGATATGTTCTTTTTGTCTCTTTTTATAGACATAATTTTCTATGATATATCATGCAGCAATCGATTGCAGGATAAAAAAACTTACCAAGGGCAGAATTATTGTATTCGCAACCTACTGATTTACTTGCAACCAGTTAATTGGTGTGTTTATAACTTAAGTAAAGTATAAAAACGTTGCAACGGTTTAAAATTACAGAAAATTACTTTGCAAATACTTTACTTAGATTTTTTTTTTCGTTTTGCAAGACATGTACTGATCATGTACTTCCTTATAAATGTACGAGCCTGTGATGAAATTTTATCTTTAGACGCCATTTTAATTCAAAAACTCCCAAACTGTAATGTGAGGTATAGTAGCTTTAAAGCGAACATTTGCGATTCAGTTCATTTGTATACTTTTGTACTTGTTTGTTTGTTTGTTTGATTGATTGGGTTTTACGTCACACCGACACAGTATATGTCATACGGCGAAGTTCCAGCTTTACTAGAAGAGGAAGACTTCATGTGCCCTTGGGTACAAACTGGCACCTGAGTAGAACCACCGGCGTTCCATTAGCAAGCTGGATAGCTTCCTCACATATTCCTCATATATAAGCATATTAACTTTGTATTTAAAAGAAACAAGTATATTTTGCATGAACCGATACTCAAATGACATAATCGTTCATTTCATTTTTCCACTTTGATTAATAAAGCGTGACGTCATTTGGCCAATGCCAATTTGAATATTCGGCATTACTTTCCATAGGTGTTTAATGTAGGCAATAACAAAAAATATCCGTACTATGTTATACTTTGCATTTTTAAAATATTAAATCAGTAAGTTATACAATCACAACAGACCGAGGAATGTGAACATATATGGAATGTATTGTATGTTCCGGGCAATCATGTAGTATGAAAGCTCGGGGGCGATTTTGCAAATTTCCTATGAAGAGTTACTGGTGTGGTCCATTTCACATAATAGCATATTCAAAAAAAGGACAAGTTAAAACAAACATTGTTCATATATTATAGATAGAAATTGTGCATAGATAATACTTAAAGTATGACTCACCTTGATACAAGAGACGGCTGAACATTAGATAATCATCATATGACCATTGGTGTGTAAATCATGGATGTCCTATCTGAAATTAAGTATTGATTTTATTTATGTACATTTACATGTTTAATAATGCAAAATATATATCTAAATATAAATTTATATATACGTACATGTAAATCTGAATATTGTTTTATTGTTTGACCACCAAAACCACACAACCATCAAACCCGGACGGCCCCGAAAATGCTTTATTTAGTATTTTCTTTGTTCAGTGGTTGTCAGTCAAATTAAGTAAATAAATTTATTTCAACCTACGTAAATGGTAATATTTTTGTTGTCTATTTCTAGAATGTTGACGTTGAAATTTGGGGGTCAAGAAAGCAATTCCTGACCTCATATACCAGCTATAATCATTTGCAGAGTAAACAATAGAATATCCAAAACTTCAGCATTTGTTGCTGAAATATTGTATATCATGTTAAAAATCTAAAATCAAAACACCCCACGTGATGTACATATCTGTCCGGACACATGATACTGTAGTGTAGACAAGTTAGGTAATTTTGATACCCTCCTTGTGGAGCCTCAGATAAAAGTGTCAATACAATCAGAAATAAACAAACTAGTTTGTTAGTTAAGAGAAGAATCTAGCTGAACTGTGTCAAATTTTAAGGTCTCTAGGTTAGAAATTATGAAATTTGTACGGAAAATTGTTCAAAAAGTGTTCGTTTGATGGTCCCCGACAGTACAATAAAAATACCTTGTTATAATAAAATAATGCTTATTCACGGCGTAAATTATGTCCCGTTTTGTCTTCCGTAGATTAAAAAATCGTGAAATTTGTTCATTTCAAAGTAACAATATAATGTCGAAAATACAAAGTTTTCATATTAAATATGTCTTATTAACATCGTTTTCTTATAAATATATATATATCGTTTATTTAAATCAAATCTACTAACATTTAGGTAAACGGTAAAAGGGACCGAGTAAGAGTACACTTTGCATATTTAGCCCCGCCTATAAATAAAGCACGAATTTCTTATAAAGCGTTATCATCATGATTAAAATAGACTATAAATCTGTGGAAATTATCAGTGTTACTGTATGTAAGTGCATATGCTTAATCCTCCTAATAAATTTATGCATATGTCTAGAAAATGGAAACAGGCTTTAAACTTCAGGACATACAACTGTAGAATAATGGTTTTTCATTCATATGCCTAATAATTTAATCAGCAGATGAACCTATGTTAGGATATCAAGTAAGATTATTATAGGATCATCTGAATGCACTTGTACACAATGTATACTTATGTTCATTAAAGATATATGAGTAATCACATTATAAGAGGACCAAGAGATCATCTGCATGAACATATACTAGTTTTTATAGAAGATGCATGAGAAGTTAATGTAAGATGAGCAGGGAATCATCTAGATGTTTGTTTGTTTGTTTGTTTGATTTTACGCCTTTCCCAACAGTATTTCAGTCATATAGGCGGGTAGTTTCCTAGCCATCGTTCCTGGAGAGATACACCAGTACTAGACTACCTTCCTCCGCGCTAAACTACCAAAGCATCTCCCGGGGTTCGAACCCACGCCAGAGAGGTAACTGGATTAGAAGTCGTCGACTCTAACCTCTCGACCACGGAGGCGGTTCATCATCTAGATGTAAATATACATTAGTAGTGATGGAATATATATGAAGAAGGGTCATCTGGTCTTTAAGGTGTATAAACACTGTAGTTCTTAAAGAACATATGTGAGGGAAATACATATAAACATTTTTATTATGGAACAGATATAAGGGTAACTCGTAAGATGCCCAGGGGATTATCTAGATGTACATATACTATAGTTTTCATGGAACAGAAATAAGGGGATCACGTACGATTACAAGATCATCTGGATGTACATAAACTTTTTTTCATTACATATCAGATGTAAGGGGATCAAAAAAATGACCAAGGGATCATCTAGATGTACATATACTATAGTTTTCATTGAACAGAAATAAGGGGATCACGTAAGATGACCAGGTGACATTTAGATGTATATACTCTTTTTCATTCTGGAACATATATGAGGGGATCAAATAAATGACAAGGGGATCATCTATATGTACATAAACTCTTTTTTTATTATGGAACAGATGTAAGGAGATCATGTAAGAATACAAGAGGAATATCTAGATGTACATATACTATAGTATTCATTGAAAATAAATAAAGGTATCATGTAAGATGATAAGGGGATCACGTAGATGACAAGGGGATCATGTAGATGTACATTTAATATAGTTTTAATTGAACAGAAAGAAATAAGGGGCTCACTTACGATGACCATGAGATCACATAGATGTACATACTCTTTTTCATTATGGAACAGCTATGAGGGTATTTCGTAAAATGACAAGGGGATCATGTAGATGTACATATACTATAGACTTCATTGAACAGAAATAAAGGGATCACATAAGATGACAATGGTATCATCTAGATGTACATATACTATAGTATTCATTGAAAAGAAATAAAGGGATCACGTAAGATGACAATGGTATCATCTAGATTTACATATACTATAGTATTCATTGAACAGAAATAAGGGGATCACGTAAGGTGACAAGGGGATCATCTAGATGTACATATACTATAGTATTCATTGAAAATAAATAAGGGGATCACGTAAGGTGACAAGGGGATCATCTACATGTACATATACTAACCAGGAGATCATATAGATGTACATACTCTTTTTCATTATGGAAACATATATGAGGGGATCGCGTAAAATGACAAGGGGATCATGTAGATGTACATATACTATAGACTTCATTGAACAGAAATAAAGGGATCACGTAAGATGACAATGGTATAATCTAGATGTACATATACTATAGTATTCATTGAAAAGAAATAAAGGGATCACGTAAGATGACAATGGTATCATCTAGATGTACATATACTATAGTATTCATTGAACAGAAATAAGGGGATCACGTAAGGTGACAAGGGGATCATCTAGATGTACATATTACTACCAGGAGATCATATAGATGTACATACTCTTTTTCATTATGGAACATATATGAGGGGATCGCGTAAAATGACAAGGGGATCATGTAGATGTACATATACTATAGACTTCATTGAACAGAAATAAAGGGATCACGTAAGATGACAATGGTATCATCTAGATGTACATATACTATAGTATTCATTGAAAAGAAATAAAGGGATCACGTAAGATGACAATGGTATAATCTAGATGTACATATACTATAGTATCCATTGAACAGAAATAAGGGGATCACGTAAGGTGACAAGGGGATCATCTAGATGTACATATACTACCACGAGATCATATAGATGTACATACTCTTTTTCATTATGGAACATATATGAAGGGATCGCGTAAAATGACAAGGGGATCATGTAGATGTACATATACTATAGACTTCATTGAACAGAAATAAAGGGATCACGTAAGATGACAATGGTATCATCTAGATGTACATATACTATAGTATTCATTGAACAGAAATAAGGGGATCACGTAAGGTGACAAGGGGATCACCTAGATGTACATATACTATAGTATTCATTGAACATAAATAAGGGGATCACGTAAGATGACAATGGTATCATCTAGATGTACATATACTATAGTATTCATTGAACAGAAATGAGGGGATCACGTAAGGTGACAAGGGGATCATCTTAATGTACATATACTATATTATTCATTGAACAGAAATAAGGGGATCACGTAAGGTGACAAGGGGATCATCTAGATGTACATATACTATAGTATTCATTGAACAGAAATAAGGGGATCAC